AAAATATTTTCTAGGCAAATATTATTCCTGTAAAATATTTTCTTTCCACCCATTTTCCACCATTGCAATCAAACGCATCCTAACAACTTTTGAGTATCAAAAGCTCCTTTTGACTTTTCAAAAATCATGTCAAATGGGTCATAAATCTATATAATTAAACACTTGAGATGGTAAACCCTAGTGAAAACAAGCATTTGGTAATTAGTATTGAGTGGATTTTCATGGGAAATGATTAACTACCTGAAAGACAAAAACCAGAACCGAAAAAGAAAGCAAAGCAAGGTATACCTGGCACGTAAATTTCAGGATCAATAGGCCTTAAGATGCCCTTTGTTTGGATTTTATTCTGGAGCAAGAGCTGTTCGTATAAAATTACATAAAGTCATTCCAACAATATTTTCCATGTTGTGATATAATAAATTAAACAGAATTAAAACAAGCAAATACCAGAGCTCCACTGGCTGCAGGGATCCCAACGGTAAGAGCCATTGCGGTGGTTGTCTTGCCATTCTTAGTCCTTCCACATTCCAATAGAGTTGCTCTGTGGTTCTCAGTCTGTCGACCATTTGGGAAATCCACTTCTACTTCATGGTGCATCAGCACCATGTCCTGGTCAGAATCGTATCAACTATTTAATCATCCTCCAAGAGAACAATAAATTGATATCAATCGGTTTAGCAAGTAAAATTATAGAAATCACCTGCTCTGTCCCAGAATAAGCCAACCTTTCTTCCATGCGGAGGCAGGTAATGTCGAATGCACTTCTACAGGAATTTGGTATTTCTGATTCCTCATGAAATCCCAAAAATCTAATGAAAGATAAAACAGGATTTCAAGAACACGATTTGACCAGAAAGTTATTTGAACGAAATACCAATCTAAAAGATTCAAGAAGAACGTATAAGTGGCCTGATCAACCCCAACATCATAGTAATGGATACACCATCTACAGCTCAACATAGGGATTACAGTGCATTGACACTATCAAGAGCTAATCAGTCAATGTTGACCATACAAGGGGCCTGATCACCCCAAAAACATAGTAACGGATATGCAATCTACAGCTTTAAAAAGGGGATAAGAAAATATAATAAAATATTAAGAGCTAGTCATTCAATGTTTCTATTAACAGCTTCTGTATAACATCATTAAAGCTTACAATATAGTTTTGGCTGTCTTTATTGCAGTTTCTGTCTCTTTGCAAAGGCCAAGGGAAACAATGCTTTCCATTATGTCTTTCTCCCATATTGCAGATTCATCCAAGTTTCCGTTACGAATTCTGAGAAGTGAAAGTAAAAAAGTTCTATATGTGGGTCTTTTCTGATTCTCAAGCATAGGGATGACCTCGGTGCTAAAGAAACCAATTCTTGCTAGTGATCCCATTATACTGCCAAAACCTGCATGACACATAAATCCATAACTTTCATGTAAGTAATCAAAGGAGGGAAAGCTCAGGAATAAGAAATTATCAGCCTCGAATTCTCTTTTTCTGGTTAGCGACAATATGGACTTTTGAGGTCTAATTTGGAACTAATAATTACCTTATTTTGGTGCCCTTCTGCTTGAGGACAGCCAAAGAACATCTATTTGATTAAGCATTAAACTTAGTCTAAAAATGATAAAACATATACCAAAAACATATCTTGCCTTCATATCTTAGGGTTCCACGAAAGATGGTCGATGCTTCATTTTTTATTCCATATAGGTCACCATAAATCAAGGAGTCTCTATTTGGAAGGCATTCCAATGCAAAAGCTGGGAAATCTGCTAGCCGAAGCCTTTTAGCAGAATCATAAAGGTTCTCCCCTGCAAGTGTGGACTATACCATAAATAATGTATAAAGAAGTCGAGGAAGATTATCTTGATCCCTGCAAGTGTGGACTATACCATAAATCATGTATAAAGAAGTCAAGGAAGATTATCTTGATATATAATAAACAAGCCAGGAAAACTTCTATATCACCACCTCCAAGGTGGCTGGAGGTGATTCAAGCTAGTGCGAAAAATACTGTTTCTTACCATGAAATATAGGTTTATTTCAAGGAATTAAGTAATCTTATGACATAATGTAAATTACTGAAATGACTGTGATCAGGCGCATAGAATATTGTTGAAAATCAATCACTTAAAATACTTGCAACATAAAATAATCAACAAAAACAGACTTGTAGGTGATATATATTAATATTAGAGGGGACACAATAAGCATATACATAGAATACACACATGCACAGATACTGATACAATGATTATTAATGCACCGCATTCTAGATGAAATAAATAGATTGATTCTTTCATTGATTAGCAACAGGAATTCGCATTGTGTCTATTGTCAACTCACCATCAACGTGTACAACTCCTCCCTGGTATCTGTAAGTTGCAGGATTCCGTCCAGCTCGTATAGCCCCTGCAGGACTCCAACTGAAAGTAATGGAGATAATATGACTCATAATCTTTTAATTTTGTGATTTAGTCTTTATATTTAGGAGGAGCTTAGAATAATTATCGAACATCATATACTAGAATAATATAGTTGAACATTATCGACTAATAATTTATTGAACTGGTAGAGAATAAGAAAATTATGAAGATGAAAGTTGTTTACTCCTTTCCAAGGAAAAGAAAATGTGGACATTGGTGGGCTTCTTCCACATAATAAGCATAATCCAATTTCTAGGTTATCTAGTTCTCAGCATTTGAGATAAGCATCATTTGCAGAGGTAATTGTGATTAGCACATCTTATACTGAGCAGGTTCCACAGGAATAAATCAATCTCATATTGCAGCAAGTTCCACTGAAGTAGAAGTCCAAAGTGAAATCATACCTGAATTTGTAAGCTAATGGGTTGTTTGCTGCTTCAGGAGAAGGAATACCACCGCAGTAAGAAATGAAAGACTTGATCCTTCCCCCTCGTATGTGGGCATGATTAATCATCTTCATTGCCATCATGTGGTCTGAAGTGTAAAATCAGTATGATTAATAAAATTTGCATGAGGCACTGTCAACAACTGTTACATCAGCTATGTCAGGTGTGCTGGTTTATGCCTTGTTCATAAATACCATTCTAGTTCATTTCTCCAAATTTTGCATTATTGCCAGTGCTAATTATATTTTTAACATAATTTTCTACTATTTCGCCTCCTACAACCTATCGATTTTATGTCTATGCGCATGTTGATCATATGAAAACAAGTTTTGAAAATATTAATATCAGTAAATTCCTTGGTCTTTATTTATATCTTCCTTATGTTTCTACAGTGACAAAGTTGAATTCATCACTTAGTTTTACACTTACATTCATCTGATTCAAGTGCATCTCTATTATACTCCAGTTTAACACCAAGCATTATATGGTTCAGAGAGCATAAATGTCACTGTGACAAGCACTGTTGTCATCTAAAAAGGATAATCTAACAGGCTTAAGAGTGATATATAACTTTATTTTTGTTTTATATTTTAGTGGAATTTAATTTTCACCCCTCCCATCTTTAAAACCCTTCATAGCATTTTGACATATGGGCGCGCTATAATTTTAGATTTTTGGATTCTGCATGACAAAAAGATACCTACCAAATTAAAAAGACAAGTTGCAGAGCATGATTATTAGACCAGCTATACTTCATAGAAGAGAGTAAAGTTCTACTAAGGGATCAAACATTCATAAAACTAATTTAGCATAAGCGAAGATGTTAAGGTAAATTTACAAGAAGGGATAAAAAAAATGAGGATGTGCGCCAACAAGTGAGGTAATAACAATTAAGAGGGGTAAGTCAATGCCAGCATGTAACACTGAACGGAAGAAAGTGGAAAAAAGGATAAATACCAATGAGCCCATGTTTATCGTATAAGGCTTGGCTTCTTGTTGGCTGATCTCCTACACTCTTCCTTCAACCAGATTAAGAAGCCCAGGAAAAATATAAGATGTTCTTGCGTTCAACTAGTTGAGTTAGCTCTAGAAGAATCGTAGAACTGGATGGGGATGGTGATGGTATTTGATTACTCGATTAACTTATCATCATGATATCATTTTGGCAAATCTCAAATTTCGACAATTGAAAAATTTGATATCTCTCAACTCCTAAATAACACATTCTTCATGGCAGATTCCTTTTCATAAAGCTATGTGTAGTATATGGACATAGTACATGTCATATATGCTTCATTATGAACAAAATTCATATAAAATTAAATTAAAAATAATTCAATGAATATGACATAATCGCATTTAAAAATTCGGAGTAATACGCATATGTTCTTAAGAAGATACTTTGAAAACTACATGTTCAGAAGAATAAACATGGTTCTAAATGTATTCCAAAAAGTAGTCATATTTTGTGAAAAAATATTGTGTAACGATTAAAATATTTCAGGATCAGGATTACCTATTCCAGGGTCCAAGCCCATCTCACAAAGAATTGTAACACCAGAACTTTTGGCTAGTTCATCAAGCTTGGTTGTGGAATCATCAACGTAGCTAGCTGTGACGAGATGTTTCTTAAGCTGTATCAGGAGGCATGATGTTAAATGTTTCAAAGTGAGTAAAGAAGCTATCTGAAAAAATTTATTATAATTCATAGTCACAAGAAGTTATATAAGTAACAATGAGGAATATCCATACCTGAATGCATGCACCTCCTATGGTACTGTGGAAACTAGGAGGCAGTAAACTGATGACAACATCAACCTGCACAGTGGATAGGGCCAGAAAGGTAATTATAAGAAGAGATAAAATCAACGTTTAAGTACAAGTCTTAATATGTATTTTAGAACGACAGGCATCAGTTGTTATAGTAAAAGCATCTTGATGTTCAAGGTTCACTAGATGCTGCACCTATCAAAGCATACTAGTTTCATAGCTAGACTTGTTGACGAATTTTTCGGTCAGACATTTTTCTCAATGTAAAAATGTGGTGCATGAGATTACCTGTGAAATGTAATTATAAAGACTCCCCTGATTCATAACATCAAGTTGAACAGCTGTTGCATTTGGAATACCTTCAACTATCTGCACTCCAATATTGTGAAATTAGATTTCTTTATTGTAAAGGAGCTAAACTCGTGGCTTGCTGAAATCTCAAAGAATGTAAAAATTTCCTTAAAAGACAGAATTGAAACTGTTTGATGAGAAGATGAATTAATCAAAGAGAATAATGTACTAAAGTAATTACAGACCAGTTGTTGCCATGCAATTATTAACATTTCATCTTTTATCAGATATTCAGATGAGAGCTGGACTGACAGTAATTAGGGGGTAAAGAAAATCTTTTTATTCCTCTCTTCTTCACTGTTTTTAAACAGACAAGAGACATTAAGGACAGTACCAAGAAAGTAATATGTCAAACATACCTCTTCTGCATCTTTCAGAAAAAGAGAAGCAACAATAACTTTAACACAAGTCTGCTCTTCAAGATCGCCTATCCTGTATGATTTTAACCATTCTTGTGGTGAATCGCCACCTATTGATGTCAGAAATTCTGCAGCTGGCCGACATACCCGGCCAGCACCTAAAATGAGAACAGAAGCTTTTTTCTTTGGGTCAGATTCCATCACTACCGTGCTCTCTTTGAATCTACCAACCTTCAACGATATCATATTATTTTTACCCCCTTTAAATTCTTGATTTTCATTTGGGTTAGCAAGTGAAGTCAAAGAATCTATGATTCTGTCTAGAACTAATTTATCATCTGCACCAACCTGTCAAAAACAGTACATATATCAACAATAAGAAACCAAACAAGGAAGCTTTCTACAGGATACAAAGAATTATAAGTCGTGAGTTACCAGGAACCCAATGGTATTCTACGCACTCTACTACTGAGAATTGATGTCATTACACATGTAACATTTAATTTTAGGATCTGGTGCCTGAAAATGGTTTTGAAGGTTACTATATCCATGCCCACTGGTTTGTCCTCTGTTATTAATTTTTTATCTATCAACTTCTCGTGAAAGGAAAATCTCATACGAAGATTATAGGAAAGATTGCCTTTCATTGTCACGACCATTATATAGCAAGTTAGCTTTTGAGGATGAGGATAATGTCGAACTCTTGATTGTAAATATAGGATGCCCTGTCTTTTACCAGCTAGAACACTTTGACCAATGTGGCTCCGAACTTTAATACTTCCTGCATCCCATTTTCGCAACTCCCATGATGCAATATCCCGAAATAAGAAACCAAATTCAAAATTCAAGGTATTTTTTTCCCTAATATCCCCAGTTCACCTTTTCCTAATGGTCACATGATAAGGATATCCAGCGACATACCTAAGTAGTGCCCATAATTTAAGATATAATGTACGAGGGTTCACTATCATTTACCATGACAGCCACCCATTTGATTATGGAATGGAGTGATTCATGTTTGTAACACTACAATATATGCCTTCAAGTATCTTGACTAAAATAACAGAGCAACTAGTTGCAAAATTTAATGTTGCAGGAAATTTGGACTACATACTTGAATAGCACCTTCGTTGGAAAGAAAAGAAGTAATAGTAACTGCCAAAATTGTGATCCATGAATAGTAGTTTCAAAAAGCCACTAGTTTGACAAAGGAACTCTTGTTAGACCCAGAAAATTATATAAGTCTGAAACATAAAAGGGATATATTCTCACTTTCCACAGCTCCTTGAATATTTAAATGGAACAACTCCATTCAACATATTGGATATTATCTATGTCAGCAGGACAATTACACAGGGAAAAAAAATTTTAGGTAATAAAATCTGAGAAAAGGGAGAACAAGTGCCAGGAAAATATGACCAAAAGCTGCACTAAATGGAGTTTCAAATGTCTGATTATTTTAATGTAACTTAAAGTTCTGGGCATTCGTAGGAAAGTTTTTATGGATGTTGGAAAGACATTAATCATGTATTTCATACATTAACATGATAGGTACTACAAAATCTAATAGTGCTTGAGATTTCCTCAAATTTAGGTCTATTCAAAGAATATAACACCCAGATAGTTCATCACATACGACTCCATATCTGCCTGGTACCAGTTTTACGCAATTCAAGCTTAAGATTTCAGATGGATTCATTATTCTATTAACAATTCGGCACTCAGTTTCTTATGCTATTTTCCCTTCTCCTTAATGATATTGATGTAGTACATCACAATTACAATTAATAGTTCCACTTTATCTAGGAGTTTGTCTTTTTTAAATTATCTTTTCTAATTTCTTTTTCTAATTGTAATAGGTTTATTCTTAAATTTTATTTAGATTAGGATTAGTTTATTTCCTTTTAGAATTTAGTTTCCTTATTTTAATTTC